AAAATTATACTATATAAAATGTGTAATATGAAAATAGTTATTACATTTTTATATTATGTATTTATAAATAGTTTACTTTTGTTATATTATTTATAAACTTAATTTACAGAAAAATATATATTTTTTCTTATTATATTATAAATAGACGTCTATATTTTATTTTATGAAATTGCTTATTATTATATATTTTATTTTCTGTTTTTAATTTCTTATTTTTAATAGCAATTTTGACAATTTTTAATGGTTGAAGGGACGGATTGAACAACTCTGTCGGGTTCAGGGGCCTATTTGACCCCGTAAAGTGCCACGTGGGATGCACCGTTGACATTTGATTGGGTGACGTGGTGGTGACAGGACTTTTACCTGCAAAAAATGAGATTTGAACTTTTTTGTTAAGTGCAAGGGGTGAATTGAAGCTTTTTAGAGTTCAGGGGGCGAATTGAGCATTCGGGACGGGTACAATGACCTATTTGACCCTTTAGCCTTTTCTTTTTATTAAAAAAATTAATTAAAAATTTTGAGGTTTCCATTATTTTTCTTTCTCTTCCACAACTTCAACTTTGCACTTTTTATTTTATTATTTCCCGAACCACTCAATTCTGTCATAGTTTTAAGGGACAAAGAGAGTATGTTTTAGCAGAACAACAAGTGAAATAATAGAAAATATGAGAGAAAAAATTCCATTTATATTTTTCATAGTAAGTATTATCAAAAGCAATTGTTAATGCATGTGTCCATTATTAATGGTTTTTATTTGATTTTGGTTCGTGTCAGTACTGCTTAGAAATAATATACTCTAATTTAGCTTCTGTCCCTTGGTCAAGATGATCCTCCTCTATATAGAGCAGAATAGTGTAGAAATTGTCCATCGAGAGAATGGAATGACATTGTTTGATCCCTATGAAATGCTCACACCCCTGACCCCTATGAAATAAAGTTTATTACATTAAGCCTTTGTCTGAACTAAAATGCCCACCCTATGAAATAAAGCCTAGGAAAGGGTCAAGTATTTGGTCACTGTGGATTGGGAGGGCGGCTGTTAGCAGAAGCAACTCGGGAGCCCCATTCAAGAAGCTCTTTGCTGGTGTCATCCTTGTGAACTATTACTTCTATAAAACACAGACAATCTGCCATTTCCCCTGTTGCTTTATCGATTGCGTCTATGAGCTCCTCTTCTGTATGCACCTGCACTTATTATTATACTTTTAGAATTGTAACCAACCTGTGATTATAGTAATTAACCATGATTCTGAGGGTACCTTTGTTGTCCAGCATTTGCCATTGCCATTGCAAATGGCATCAACTAGACCTGTATAGTTCCAGTTCTTGATCACGTTGTAAGGCCCGTCATGGATTTCAACCTCAATTGTGTACCCACCATTGTTGATCAAGAATATGATTGACTTGTGCCCACATTGTATCATTGTTGACACATCTTGAGCTGTCACCTTTGATTCATAAATTTACCAACATTTTGGTTAGTTAAAGATTCACTATAAACACTAAACTTTTGAGGGTTAAGACTAGGGTGATGAAATTTTAGTCCTGCACTTCAGTTTCCTATTTTGATCAACAATTGTTTAGTGAAATGCCTTCTCATTTAAGTGCTTCCTTCCTTTTCTGAATAAATTATGTCTGCTACCTTAGTGTGTTTTAGGATTTTAGGATGGTTTATTCAAAGATTTAGTGCCTTTTAAAAGAAGAAAAGTACTACGTAATACATATAGAAGTGCCTGGATAAAAGTAATACATGTAGAAAAGTACTACACTTGATTAACCTCTTAGTCTACCGAGGGTTTATCATAGGTACCTGAAAACTGCCATCTCCTATACAGGCAATCACCCTTGTATTAGGTGTGGATTGTGCATATCCTAAGGTTGCACCAACAGACCAACCAATGGATCCATACTGCATCTGGAATTCGTACCCGCAACCAGTTGGCAACCTTAACTTTTGACAGTTGAACCATGAATCACCCGTCTCAGCAATCACGGCTGTTTCAGCTGATAACATCTTTTGGATGTGTTGGAACATGACATTGACCCGTAGAGGTTCATTGGGCTTTGACTTGAGAGGGACGCCTTCGGGTATATGGATCCTCCTATAGTTCTCATGAGCAGTTGTGTTTTTCTTCACCTTTTTTGCCAACTCCCTTAGGAAATCCTTCATCAGTACGCACCCGAAAGATGGCCCGTTTGCAATGACAACTCTGTCAGGCTGAACAACGATGGCCTTCTCCTTCTTGAGTAACAGGGAATAGCCCACAGAGCTGTAGTCGTTGAAGATGGGACCCGCAAACAAGTATGCGTCTGCGGATTCGACGATTTCTCCGCAGAATGCAGTGCTGACTGCACCCCAATAGGTGCCGATGAACCGAGGGTGTTGCTCTGGGACTAACCCTTTGGCCGAGGGCATGACTGCCATGGCATAGCCACTGGCATCAGCAAGCTCCACAAAAGAATCAGATGCCTTGGAGACTCTCAGCTTTGGCCCTCCCACCATTACTGGCTTCACTGCCTTGTTTAGGAAGGCTGCTGCTGCCTCCACTGCAGCTTCAGTTCCCAACTTATTGCTCAGTCTGTAATTTCAGCGGCACAGTAAGTGATGGTACTAACTTTCGTGTAAAGGAGTGGAACAATTAAAAGAAAGTGGAGGGAATAGTAGGCAGTTTCACTGTTCCAAAAATCGGCCTAGTGGACCGATTAATCCGCACCTAGGCTCTAGGCGAGTAGGCGACCCGAAGTGTAGAGGATTAATTTGCGCCCTCAACCGCCCGACTAATGCCTAGTGAGTTTTAAAAGAATGGGTAGTTTTATACCTGGGTGAGAGGGAAAATGGGATGGGCTCTCTGGTGAAAGTGGGATGAGGGATGCCAGGAAGGTTGCAACTTATGCTGAGATAAACAGGTTTGCTTTCTTTCAAAGCTGTGGATATTGCTTTATCAATTTGTTCATGTGCATCATCCAAGTTATTTATCAACGCCTGATATAACCAAAAACAGAAATTGATCTTTTTACATAATGAAAATAAGAATTGCAGCTGCAGAAACAACAGCAGTTACATAAATCCTTGGATGGGAGTACCTGGTAGCAAGTAACAGTCTGGAAACACCTCAACTCTTGCGTAAAATCAGGCAATCCAATGGTGTGATGCAAAATCCTATTTGTTCCATAATCGTTCGTATTCGGCCCGCCGACTATACATATCACCGGCAGGTTCTCGCTGTACGCGCCGGCGATGGCGTTGAGCACGCTCAGCCCGCCCACCGTGAACGTCACCACGCACGCACTGACCCCACGCTGCCTCGCGTACCCGTCCGCCGCGTACCCCGCGTTCAGTTCATTGCAGCACCCGACGTTGTTGAGGGAAGGCTCGGCGATGAGGTGGTCGAGCAGAGTGAGGTTGAAGTCGCCGGGGACGGAGAAGACGTCTCTGATCCCGATCTCCACCAGCCGGTGGGCGATGTGGCGGCCGAGGGTGGCGTCCGGTGGGGCGACGACGGACGGAGAGTGGGAGTCCTGGACGGTGGAAACGGCGCCGTTCGCCGACGGGCAGATTACGTCCCCGTTGATGGGGTCGGAGGCGTCGAAGTTTCCGACGGAAACGTCCATTTTGTGCGTGTGAGGTGGCCGGAGAAATGTGTGAAAGGGGAATAGTTAGTTGAAGGAGAGGAAGAATGTATAGTAGGAGTAGTGGTTTTCGTTAATGGTACACGCAACGGTTTTACCGGTCGTTGTTATGATTCGTAATTACAGGAGCTTGCTCGGTCTAATTTTCTCCTCGTGTATTTTGTATTTGCATATACACACACATATCATAGAATGTAACCAATGATTATGATGAATATAGTAAAATTAAGTTATAATAATTCAACCATGTGTCAATATCTCATTGGTTACTAAAAATTCTATTATCACTCATATTAAAACATTTAACTAAATCTCCATAAGTTCACACCGTTCATCACAACCTATTCACCTTAATTAGGCCAACTCATTTGAAGAAAAGGTAGGAGAAAAATATGTTATTTTTAAAGTATTATAACTTTTTTATTTGTACTCCATTTTTCATAATAAGTATATCAAGCCCAATTTTTAAAATCTTTCATATGATCTTTCATACGACACCAATATTGCATATGTAAAAATAAAAAATATGAAGATCCAATTGATGGAGATTTTTAATCTTAGAATTTTTTAATCAATAAAGCCCAAAACATTTTTTGAGTAGATTCAAATCTTAAGATTAAAATTTCATAATTAATTTTTACATTTTTGAGTTAATATTTTAAAAAATGTCTAAAACATCAGATTTCTTATTGTTTATTGTTCTATATAGTAAACTTGAATTATGAAATGCTAAGTGTGACTCTATTATTGACTTCACATAATACATACTAATAATTTTAATGTTACAATCATAGTTTAACTCATTAAATGATGCACATGTAATATAAAAAACAATTCATACTTTTAAATTACAACATTTAATTAATGTATAACATCTACATAGCATGCTTAATTCTTGTTGGATTGTGCATTAAATTATATTGTAAATTTTGTTTCAAATTCAATACTTCAAGTATATGGATAAATATACCCAGTTTATACCGTGTGTAAAAACATTATGATATGAAAACATAATAATAATATGCATATAACACGCAATCAAAATCTTCACAGTAAATTTTTTATACATAACACTTTTATTATTCTTCAATTATACACAATTGCAAGAATAACAATAATGTACTCTCATTGTCCGAATGAAACCCAACAAAACTGCAACATGGCTGCAACGAGGATAAGCTGGGATCGCAACACATGTTGGGGCTGCAATATTGCGGTTGCATTCTGATGGTCCTTGATAGAGGTAAAAGTCTAGAGGAGGGGGGGGGGGGAGGTGAATAGACTTTTAAAGCTTTTTCACTTTAGAAACTTTTCCCTTCTAGTTGAGTTGATCTATAATCTTTTGGGAGATTTATAGATGCACAACGGAAGTCTTTAACCTCTTAGATAAATAGTGTATAACAACTTTCTATGATGGATGAAGTTTGAGGTTTGCAAGGTGAGCAGTTGGCTTGGAAGTTGGCTAGAAAGCAGGGAACTACTGAGGCAACTGCTAGCTAAATACTTAGTGTATGATGAAAGTGCACTCAGAATCTTTCTTAGAGTGAGAAGAGCTTTCTGATGATGTAACAAGATAGATTGATAATCAACCTTAATGAGAGCAGTGGTCTCGGCAGTTGGGTAGAAACCAGATAACTGCTGAGGCACCTTCTTAGGTAAAAGTGAAGGTATGGGAAGATTGATTATGTAGTGTTGCTTAGGGTGATGAGGGCTTTCTGAAGATTTGCTTTTGTGTAAGTGAGTGGGAGTCTTACTGGAGCAGTGGTCTCGACAGTTGGGTGATAGTGAGGGAACTGGTGAGGCTCCTGCTGTGATTCAGTTTAAGTTTCAGAAACTAATTTTGAACAGACTCCTTGTTTGGAATGTTGTGAAGGTCTGGAGGAGTTTGAGTGATTTCAAGGGAGTACTTTTATATGAGCAGTGGGCTCAGCAGTTGGGTAGTCACCAGGGGACTGCTGAGGCAAATGCTACCCTTAAGATTAGTGAATCAGAATTCTAATAGGACACACTTGTAGTAGAAATGTTTACAAGGTTTTTGTGAAAAACTTGTCTCAAAGAAAGCAAGTAATTAAGCAGTAGGATAAGCAGTAGGGTCAATTAAGACTACTGCTTAGGATGTTGCTGGCAAACTCCAATCTTTTTGTGAGAAGTGTTGAGTGTGTGCTTTGTTGAATGAAAGTTAATCAACACACAGTATATTCTGGTTCAGAGGTGGTGTAATCCTCCTACGTCCAGTCCCACCCTATTTCAGATGGATTTCACTAAAGTATTTAACCCAATACACTTAGTGTCAATATAGCCTTTACAACACTTAGGCCTAGATTGAAGGCTTTTCACAATGAGTATAACACCACTCAAAGTTACTCAGTCCTTAGACTTTTCTCAAATGATCCGGTGGGGATCAAAGGTACTCTATCTATCTCACCACACTGTAGGATCTGTACAACTGTTCTCCTAAGTGTTTACAACAATTTGTGATTTGATTACAAGAAAGTTCTAACCTCCATCTAGGAACTAACTTCTCAAATTTAGCAATGAACACTTGTGACTAAGAAGTTTAGTGAAGCAAGAGTCTAAGCAGAGAGTAAGGTATAGATTCACACTTTCTCTTTTGCTAGATATCTCGTGAATGCTCAAAGAAATATTGCTCTACTTAGAATGCTCAAGCTTGGTTAGAAACTTTCGTTTCAGCCTATATTTATAGGCTTCTCCTGTGAATTAATCTCATCCGTTGGTTAGGATGAATTAATCTCTGACGTTGAAAAATTGGCAAGGACGAATTGTACGTTTATCTTCTTGTGCTGGAGCATTTATTGAGACGATTTCTTTGTCTTGAGTATCTCAGCCGCTGAAGCATCTCTTTAGAAAATATTCCCATGTGTGCGTCCTATGCTCCGGTCCCATGTACAAATGTAGTATTAATTGCCGGTCTATTTTTGTCTTCAATCATTTACATTCAATATATTTGATTTTCCGAGCTTCTTTTCTTTAAAATGTGACATACAATTAATCTTTGAGCTAAAATAATATATACCGGTAGGATCTAAATATCCTATTAAGGTAAATAAAAATTACCTTATTGCATTTTAACTTTTCCGGTAATATTTAATTCGACTCAAAAATTGTACATTTTATTTTGTCACATAATTTTGAATGCTAACACACGAACAATATTGAGACATAATGTACACGTGCTAAGTATTGTGGCATCATCAAAATCTATCAAAATTGGGTACTAACACATTATTTAGCGCAACCGTATCGGGCCGCAATGGAGGTGAAATTTCAAATCGCAACGGGGCCATATCAGATCGTATCAGGACATCAACACTAATTATTTTCGTATTTCGTTTGAATGTAAAATTTAAATTACACCGCATCGGACGCAATACGCATCGCAACGGCCACAATAACCGCAACCGCAGTTATCACAATCACAACGTTGTCACAATAAAAAACCTTGCTTTAGCCTAAAGAGTAAATATATAATATATATGATGATTGATAATTTTATATATCGTCATTATTGTTTGTGGTTGGATCAAAGTAAAAGGGCATTATATTGAACTTTGGAACCTATGAATAATTCACAATATCTACTACGTAATTTTTTTCATTTTAACTCATACTTCGTATCAAATTGATAAACGCCAATGTTGTTCTCATAAGATGGATGGCTTTTATGCCTTTTCAATTTTTCAGCATAAGAACTTTTATGTTTTTCTTTTGGAGGGTTTTGACCTCAATATTACTAAACACCAGATAAATGATAAAAAAAATTGATCATTTTTTTAAAGTTCCAAAAATGTGAATATATGTTTTAAACTTACTAAATTACCCCTAATATTGAGTGACTTTATGTTATAGTTACAAGATCAGTCACAGTGACACCCGCCATAGTGACATACGCTGCTATGACCACTCATCGCCGCCGCCGGTGACTACCACCGATGACCGCCGCCTGTGACCACCACCGCCATCGGTGATCGCCGTCGCTGACCACAGTGACACCTCCAAAGTGACTCTGATCATAGTTACTCCGACCACAGCTACTTCGGCTACAGTCAGTGATGGATTTAAGGGGGGCGCGGGGGTGCGACCGCCCCCCTTGGACTTTCAAAATTTTCTACTATATATGTAATGTTTTTGTAAAATTTTGATACTTAATTAGATTCGCCCCCCTTAACTTTTTTTTGAACATTGTCCCCCTTAACTTTTAGTTTTTAAAATTAATATATAATCTTACATAATGTACTCCGTAATACTTAATTGGAGATTTAAAAGAAGGAACATCTAAAATCATTTACATAACTTAAATAAACAATAGAACAACTCATTATTTAAGATTTAGGATACTTATTATATAAAAATTACTAGTTTTGTAATGTTTAATTATCTTTATTAGATAACCAGTAAACAATATAATTTTGAAAAATATATATCAAATGATATTAAATACCAGACACTCTAGCTACAAAGTTTTTAGATCATGTGAAGTGAATCAAAATTATAAATGTTTATTGATGTTGGTCCAAAATAGGGCGCTCGTAGGTTTTTAGGAAAACTACGTACGACACTCAAGCGGGAATCAAGAAAGTAATATGAATAAGGAAAGTTGCAAAGGAGATTTGGTAGCTAGACTGGAGGCTCCCAACTGGGCTGGTCGGCAGGCTCCTGGCTAGACTGGAAGATAGGCTCCCCACTGGGCTTGAAGGCAGGTTCTCTTGGGTTTTCGGTTGGGCCGGTAGGCAGGCTCTCCGCTGGGCTGGAAGGCAGGCTCCCCGCTGGCCGGGCTGGAGGGCAGGCTCCCCGCTGGGCCGGTCGACAGGCTCTCTTGGGCTTCCGCTCCTTGATTGGCCTGATCGATTGAGCCGACTCGAGCTCTGGGTTGCTGGGCTTGGGCCTGCTGGTCCAAGTTCGGGGCCTCGGCCGATTAGGCTCTGGGCCTAGTCCTGTAACCCCATCACGAGTCCCCCACTCCCTTAGTCGAGTAGTAGACTCGGCTAAGAGGGAGTAGTTCAAGTCAGCTGCCAATTTAAAAAATATTCACATACCAGGGAGCCATAATTGTGGATTCTGTCAATCCCACAATTTATGGAGATTTACAAATTTTAAATAAGGCTCCAAATTAATTTCCTTCAACATCCTAGCATTGCAGCAGTCAGCTCTCTCCCGGAGTTCAGAATCCAAGTCGGCCTCCCAAATTCCTGAAATTCATTATTATTTTATAATTATGTTCGGACTTTATTTTATTTTCCCCTTTTTTCTTTTCCGTCCTTTTTTTCTTTTCTTTCCTTTCTTTTCTTTTTTCTCTCTCCTGGAAACTGCGTGTGTCGTCCTCGCGTCTGCCTAGCGCAGCGCCACAGTCAATGCAGTTGACCGACGTCTAGGCTGGCGGCCCCCCATCCGGACGGACGCCCATGTTTGCGAAGCTCTGGCAGATTCCTGCGTCGATCTATAGCCAATGTGGCGGCTCCCCAGGATGACGATGCCTTCCTTCGGGTGAAGCTCTGGCGGTTCCCCTAGGCGGCGACGGCTTCCAGGTGCCGGTTCCAGACGACGACGGATTCCAGGCGGTGGATCCAGGTGGCGACAGCTTCCAGGTGAAACATCGGATCTCCTCGGCTGGCATCCTTCCACCTCTGGCGAGCAACTGGCCGGCAGACCCTTGGAAGCTCTAGGTCGGGTGGACCTCTCCATGTATGCAGGTGCAAGGAGTATGATGTCATCTCCGGGTCGACAGGCCCAAAGCTTCCCATCGCCAGTGATCTCTCCCTATCGGGCCGACCCATCTTCCAGGCCGGATTTGGCTTGCACCTTACTCTATTCGGGCGAGTCTCCAGGAGTTCTCACTCACGCTTTCCCCATTCCCGGTCGGCGGCCCCCTTATTGGTTGGTAATAGCAATAGGGGGTGACAGCTCCCAAAGTCCCAAGCAGCCACGGCTCTTTGGCAGAGAGAGGCTCTCAGACTACACCACAAGATTGGTAGTGTGCAATCAGCCGACAGATCTGTAATTGGGTGACGTTAGTGGTTGTGCCTCTATAGTTGTTGCTGGTTCGTTTCTTTCCTGAATTCCTGAGACAAGATTTATTTTGTCTACAGGGTATGTTCATGACTTTGGAGGCATTCCGAGTTTTGATTGTGCCTGGGCAAAGTTCTCTCACGAGTCTGACAAGGTGAATGACGTTGGGACAGGCAACGAGACACTTGCATAGTTCCATGCCTCCGCTAGGTTTTCCCACGTGCTTGAAGAATCATCATGGTGAGAAAGATATGGCTCCATCAAACTTGGCGACAAACCAACGGGATGAGAACAACCATGGACGGGATGACATACCATTGTACATGATGGTGCTGGGTCAGTTTAGCGGTGACCTTGTTTTTTTTAGCTTGCAGCCGGCCTATGTAAACTTTGACTCAACATTAAGTCCTGAATCATACATTTCTTTTTCTATACTTTGCTTTCTTTCTTTTTTTCTCTTTCCTGGACTTCCATCATGTGTGCGTGCGCCCTGTCCTAGGCGGCTAGGTGGCTGGGTCCCCCCTGGTCGGATGGCATCGTCACCTCCATGGAAGCAGGCGACTAGGCGGCAAAGCGACCGGGTGGCCGGGCGGCCGGGCGGCCAGGCGGCCAGACGGTCATGCGGCCAGGCTGAAGTCTCTATTCCTTGGGGTTCCGCGTTGTCTGGCGGTCGCCCCGGTGCTCTTCTTCCTCTAGGTGGCAGGGTTGTTGCCGCCATCATTTGCTTGGCAGTGACAGAGACCACACAAGCGTAGGGGTCCAGCGCCACTGTCCAGGGTGACGGCGCTCAGGCAGATGGAATCCAAGATTAGTAGTGTAACTTCCGGGCTGACAGCCACCCGAGAGGTGGTGGGTCCAAGGTCAGAGTGCTGCTCCTCGGTGGTAGGAAGTAGGTGGGTGATCCAAACTCTTTGGATGACACCTTCATCCCCGCATGGTTGAAGTCGTTGAGACCTTTGAGGTTGATATCGACTGTCCTATTGCAACTGCATATATCCTTCGCCCCCACAGGAAACGGGTCAATTCGGGCCGGCTGGGACCTTTGCAAAAGCATAAGTGCAGCCGACACGTGTGGGCAGCATGCTAGTGCTCCTCGAATTATCTTGTTTTTAGAGCCACGTAGCTCCTTATCTTGTTACTTGATTCTGATAACCTTTTTAACCTATTTGTAGGATTTCATGCTCTGTAGAGGTCCCCAAACGTGTGAAGAATCATGAGGACGAGAGAGCTCCACGGCGGGGAGCCTACCTTCCAGTTTGAACTTCAAAACATGTAAGGCGGCAGATGCCCCTATCGTGGAAATGGCAGTCAAGGCTTTCCCTCAGGAGGCTCAACAATGCAAGTTAATTGCGACACAGTACTTAGGCGTCAGTCGCAGGTTGACGGTGGCGTAGTACATGGGTGACGGCCAAGAGTAGACCGTCCATGTCAATGACTGAGTTGACTTTCGGATTCCAGGAGAGTTCCTTAAGCTTCCTAGCAATCCCTTGACTAGATCATTGTATTTGATGGCGATGGGTTCTCCCGGCCATGACCCTGTACATTTTTGTTTTATTGCTTGTAGCATGAAGTTGACTGATGTGACATCTGACTGAATTAATTTTGAATTCATATGTTTCTTTTTCTATACTTTGCATTATGAATACTTAGCAATTTATTCGGGGATCTGGCTTCTCTAACCTCCCGGGGGCGGTTAGGCTGGTGTGGCCGAGCCTATCCGTGCCCCTCCTAGTTGGATAGAAGTGATCTGTTCGCTATTGATATGGAATCAACAAGTAAGCGACTTGTTTGGCCAGCGAGGTCGGACATTGAACCGACGAGGAAGACCCTTGGATCGGTATCCTGAACGTTCATGACCCGGGGGTCAGTCCTACTGTCACTTTAACCCATCCACTTTAACTGTGATGCTGGCAAACGGCTCGGCCTCAACCCACTTCATAAAGTAGTCCACCGCGACGATGACAAACTTCCGGTTTCCCGACCCGGTTGGTAAGGGACCGACCAGGTCGACACCCCATCTTGTGAATGGAAAGGCGGTGCTGATCGGTGTGTACATCGTTGCAGGTCGGCCGGGGCTCTTCTGGAACTTCTGGCATGTCTCACATTTCCTTGCATAGTTAGCGCAATCCTTCATTATTGTTGGCCAAAAGTACCCTTGGAGGACGACCTTCCTAGATAACGTGCATGCCCCCTGGTGGGCGGAGCACACGCCCCCATGGAGTTCAGAGACGATCATGTCCGCCTCATGTGGGCGTAAACACTTTAGCAAGGTCCCATTGTAGGACCTCTTGTACAACTTCCCATCCAAGACGACGTAGCCCGGAGCTCGTCGCCGGACTAACCTTGCCTCCTCTTCTTTATCGGGGAGCGTCCCGTCGGCTATGTAGCGTAGGAGGTCATCCACCCAACACCAGGCGACTGGTTGCAGGGGAAGGGCGTCAATGGACGGTGAGGCTGATATGCTTGAGGTCGTCATCTCCTCAATGCGTGCAATTCTCGATATGTGTTCAGGCAACCCTCGGGATAGCTTTGAGAGGAGGTCTGCATCGGAGTTTTGATTTCTCGGGATGCAGATCAACTCTGCTTGCTTGAACAACCCGAGCAATTCCCGAACAGCATTTCGGTACTTCATCATTCTTTCTTCCTTCGCTTCGAACTCACCTTTGACCTGGGAAACCACCAGGCGGGAGTCACATTTCACCGTTATCCACTCTGCTCCCATGGCGGCTGCCAGTCGTAGCCCAGACAGTAGGGCCTCGTACTCCGCCTCATTGTTGGAGACTTTGAAAAGATAGCGGTAGGTATAGTAGGCTCGGAATCCCTCGGGTGAGATGAGGACGATTCCACCCCCGCATCCCTTGGCTCCTGTCGACCCATCAGTCGCTAGAGTCCACCACTGTTCATTGCTCTCTTGTTGCCTATCTGCCACCTCTCGCGCCGTGCATTCCATAATGAAATCAGCCAGAGCCTGGCCTTTGATGGACGTCCGAGGCTGGAAGTCAACCTCATATTGGTTGAGGAGCATCGACCACTTCACTACCCGGGTTGTGCCGAGCGCCCTCAGAGCGACACCTAGGGGTTGGTCCAACAGGATTCTGATCGGGTGCGCTTGGAAGTAGTGTGTCAACTTTTTGGCGGTGATGTAGGCGGCATATATTGTCTTCTCGAGCGGGGTGTACCGGAGCTCAGCATTCTGGAGGGTCTTGCTCACATAGTAGACGGGACGCTGAACGCCTTCCTCCTCGCGAACCAGCACAGAACTGATTGCGTCTTGGGAAAGCCCAAGATAAAGGATTAACGTCTCCCCCCTCTTCGGCTTGCTGAGTAAAGGCTCAGAGAGGAGGTACTTCTTCAGGTCGTCGAAGGCTCGTTGACACTCATCATTCCAGACGAAACCATTTTTTTTCTTTAGGACCTGGAAGAAGGGTAGGGACTTCTCGGCGGACTTGGACATGAAGCGTCCAAGGGCTGCTAGCAGTCTGGTGAGAATCTGGACTTCTTTCACCGACCTCGGGGGTTCCATGTCAAGTATTGCCCTTACCTTCTCAGGATTTGGCTCAATCCCCCTCCGTGTGACCATGTACCCCAGGAACTTGCCTCCTTGGACGGAAAAAGTACATTTCTTCGGGTTCAGGCGCAGACGGACTGCCTTCATGATCCCGAAGATCTCTGCCAAATCATCTGCATGATCGGACGCCCGGGTGCTCTTGACGATCATGTCATCAACATATGCCTCCATGTTCCTTCCGAGCACCTTCCGGAATACCTTGGCCACCATCCTCGTGTACGTCGCCCCAGAGTTCTTCAGCCCGAAGGCCATGACAAGATAACAAAAAATCCCCTCTGGGGCGACGAACGAGGTCTTCTCCGCATCGTCTTCATGCATGAAAATCTGATGGTATCCTCGAAAAGCGTCCATGAAGCTAAGGAGCTCACATCCGGCCGTCCCATCGACTAGTTGGTCGATGTTAGGCAATGGGAATGGATCCATCGGACATGCCTTGTTGAGATCGGTGTAATCAACACACATCCTCCAGGTTGGCGGCTTCGGGGCCAGGACCACGTTTGCCAGCCAGACCGGGTACAAGACCTCCTGGATATGCTTGATACTCAGGAGCATGTTGACCTCCTTCTTCACGAATTCCCTCCTCTCGGTTGAGAGGTGTCTTGTTTTCTGCTGGACGGGCTTCGCCGTTGGATTGACCGCCAACCGATGGACAGCGATGCTTCGGTCAAGGCCAGGCATGTCCTTCGGTCCCCACGCGAAGACAACGCTAAAAAGGACAAGTACCTAGATAATCTTCTCCCTCAAGCTGGTCGGGAGCCCGGTCGCGATCTTGACCTTCCGCTCCGGCCTCTCGGGGTCAATCTGGATCTCCTCCACTTCTGAGGTGGGTTCAGCGCGGAGCTGACCCTCCTCATACTTTATGGCTTTGTTGTTGATAGTGTGGACCCTCAAGTCTTTTTGACCGATTTGTTTTCAAGCTTTCAGATAGCAGCTCCTCGCCATTCGCTAATCTACCCTGGCAACTCCGACGCCATTCGGAGTGGGAAACTTCATGCATAGGTTCTCCTGGGATATCACACATCTGAGGTCTTCCAGGGTCGGCCTTCCCATGATGATCTTATGCGCACAAGTTAGGCGTACGATGATAAACTCGACGTCTAACTTGGATACGCAGGGCTCGGAGCCCACCATCACGGGGAGGACTATGCTGCCCTCCGACTCAATGGAGTCCCCGGTGAAGCCCGAGAGTGGGGTTCTCACCGGGATCAAGTCTTTTCGGTCCAGCCCGAGACCTTGGAAGGTGTCATAGTACATGATGTTAACGGAGCTCCCACTGTCCACCAGGACTCGGTGGACGATTGTGTTGTTGATTTCGACCTTGATGACCAAGGCATCCCTGTGCGGCGGAGGCATCGGTGGCAAATCTGCGTCGGTGAAGAAGATGGGGTCCCTCTTCACCCTCTTGTCGGCGGGAGCCCTGGTTATCTCCCCGACGTATAGGGATCGGGCCCACTGTTTCCGCTCTCCAGAGGTGTCGCCTCCCTGGGGTCCCCTGAATATGAATGAACATCGATGGTACTTCCGGGGGCCGTTCCCTAGGTCGGCATCATCTTCCTCGGAGAAGGCGCCGAGCTCTCGCTTCTTGGCAGGCAGTGTCTCCTTTGACGTGGTAGCTTGGTCGGACCGCTGCCACGTCAGGCTCCTCTTCTGCGGGACGCCTCCTTGTTTGCCAACGAATTGGCCCAGGTACCCTTTCTAGATGAGTTCTTCAATTTGCCATCGGAGAATGACGCAATCATCTGTATCATGCCCTGCTCTCCGATGAAATCGACAATATTGGTCGTGGTTGCGCTTGGCAGTCACCACATCACACTCCTCCGGAAAGTCGACTAAACCTTGCTCCTCCGCATAGTCGAGGATGGCCCCGACCGGCTGAGCAAGTGGAGTCAATTGCTTGACGGGCTGTAACGGTCCGCTCAGGACGTCCGCCTTGCCCTTGCCTCTGCTTTTGTTACCTTTGTACTTGTTGTTTTTGTTGCTAGCTTTGCCGTCAACTTTCTCAGCACCCGAACCGGCTTCCTTCTTCTTTTCTTCTTTTGCACCTTCTTCCTCATCTCTTTTCCTCTGCAAGGCGTCCTCCGCCTCGGCTTGCCGGTCGGCGCGGCCGAGCGCCTCCTCGTACGAGGTAGGGGACTTCTGACGAAATCTTTGTAAAGCTCGCCCGATCGGATAGAGTTTGTGAGCATGGCCACCCCGGTGCTGTCATCAAGGCCCTGAACCTTGACTGACTCGGCCCTCCACCTGGCTAGGAAGGTCGACAATGATTCTTTCTTTCCCTGTTTTAGGCCGAATAGGTGGCTGAAGTTTTTCTTGACGTCTCGGGAGCTCGCGAACCTCAAGAGAAAGCGCTGAGCCAACTCACGAAAATTCGTGATACTCCCGTCGGGTAGAGAGTCATACCATTCACGAGCCGGGCCATCCAAAGTGGCGGAGAAATTGCGGCATCGGATGGCGTCCTCGTACCCCATCATGACCATGTAGGAAAGGTACCGAGATACATGATGTTGGGGGTCAGAAGCGCCCTTGTATGCTTCAATGGCGCAGGGCTTGTAGCCCCTCGGCAACGGCGCATCCATGACCGCCCGGGTGAAGGGTTCGGGTATCCGGAGGTCGGCCGTGTAGGGCTCCCCCCCGACGACCCTCCTTCTCAACTCGTCAAGACGCTGTCGTAGATCTTCCACCTCGGCCGGCGGTGGGTTCCCCCGGACAGCTCCAGCGTGGGGCTGGGCATGTCCGGCGGCACCTCCAAGTCGCCTGTGCGCGTGAGGTCGGGCCCCCACGTTTTGCCTCTCCATGGAGCCAGTCCAGCTGCTCGCTCGGTGAGAGTGGCGAGAGGACTCGCCTCCTTCCATCTCCATTGAGCGCCCCTGCTGGGTGCCCCTCCCCGCATGTCGATGGGCCGGCTAAGCTGCTGGGAGACTTCTTCCCTCCCGTTTTGGTTGGATCCAGAGCGTCGCTCGTCACGCCGCTTGAAGAACACCTCCACATCTGCCGGCGTCTGTTGATGGGCAGGCTCATCCACGTTTCCGCCAGACACCATCTGTTGGAAACCATGAGCCAAGGCCCCTAGAACCCGAGTCGCCTCCTGTAGGGCTTCCACCCCGGCATTGAGTCGAGTCGGGTCCATGCGCGGAGCATGACCCCCCCCCCCCCCCCCCCCCCCGCCGGTTGCGGACCGAGCGCTCACCTTGGGTGTGGTTGAGTGTTGCCCTTAGGTCGCCGTGGCCTGATATTTGGTTCCGAAGGTCGCCTTGGCGCGCCGCCCTCCTCCCCTGTACATGGTTGTCGAGGGCTCGCTGGCGGCCAGATCGGGTGGACTCCTCGGTGTGGACTGAGACATGGTCACGTCTTGACGAGATTCCGGCCATCTTCCTATGTGATTCCTACTCAAGTAATGTGAGAGACAATAGAGACTCTCAATGAAAGCACCAATGTTGGTCCAAAACAGGACGCTCGTAGGCTTTTAGGAAAGCTACGTACGACACTCAAGCGGGAATCAAGAAAGTAATATGAATAAGGAAAGTTGCAAAGGGGATTTGGTAGCCAGAAATAGCATATCCATTATTTGACTCGAACTTGCCTCTTATAGGCGATTACAATTGGTAACTGCCAAAGATACTAATGGCTAACTAATTACAACATTAATACGGAATTAAATACATAATTAAGTCACGCCTTAATTACTTTGGCCGTTGTAGTTCCTGGCTGGCAGGCTGGACGCTTGAGCTCCCTCCTGCTGGACTGGACGGTGGGCTCCCCGCTAGGCTGGAGGAAGGCTTCTGACCGGGCTGGAGGCAGGCTCCCGGGTAGGCTGGAAGGCAGGCTCTCCGTTGGGCTGGAAGGCAGGCTCCCCGTTGGGCTGGAGGCAGACTGCTGGCCGGGCTGGAAGGCAGGCTCCCACCTGGGCTGGACCGCAGGCTCCCAGTTGGGCTGGTCGGCAGGCTCCTAGCTAGGCTGGAAGGCAGGCTCCCCACTGGGCTGGAAGGTAGGCTTTCTTGGGTTTCCGGTTGGGCCGGTAGGCAGGCTCTCCGCTAGGCTGGAAGGCAGGCTCCCCGCTGGCCGAGCTGGAGGGCAGGCTCCCCACTAGGCCGGTCGACAGGCTCTCTTGGGCTTCCGCTCCTTGATTGGCCTGATCGGTTGGGCCGACTCGAGCTCTGGGTTGCTGGGCTTGGGCCTGCTGGTCCAAGTTCGGGACCTGGACCGATTATGCTCTGGGCCTAGTCCTGTAACCCCATCAATTGACATTAAATTACACAATTCATTATTTCTTACGTTCTAAAAACACTTTATTGCGTATATAAAAAACTTTAAATATTTTAGCATTAATACAAATATAATATGCACTATATATATATATATGAATTAACAATATAATATTATTCCAAAAATAATAATATCATACATACTATTGTAATATTAAAAAAACTCCTTGTGACTAATGAACACCCTCCATGGTAGACAAAAATTGTAATTCAAAAATCAATTTTTTATTTCTATAAGACTCATGTAGTTAAACAATGTTGAAGTTATTTTAAAAGTATTGGTGAATGTGTACCTTATAAACTCTTTATATTTAAATAAAATGTTATATATCATTTTTTATTTTTAGATTATTTCCTTTTGATCTGCCATTTCTTACGCTTTAATGTATCAATACCTTTTTCTAGAGCACTCCAATTATAAAATTAAAGTTATTTTGTCATTGTCTAAACTTAGAATTTAATATATAGATTTAAATGTCGCCATGCATGTATTAATGATTTTTTCTTTGAATTAAAATAGAGAGCCTTACACTAGTGAAAAATTCCATCCCGCTACACTAGCAAAAAAAATTGCCCGCTACACTACTGAATTTTTTTATCTCCTAAACTAACGAAAATTTTCGTCTCCTTCACTCAAAATCGTGGATCAACCCCTACACTGACCGAAATACTACCGTTATTCCGGTCACCACCACTCACCACCATCAGCCACCAACCTCAGCCCCTAGTTCCCAACCCTACCACACAGGTACACAACCCAACCTCTCCCTTTCAAGTCCAACCCCTCCCCCAGCCCCGTCCCCAGGCCCACAACCCCTCCTCTGCCTCAACCCCTCCACTGACAACTACCACCGGCGACTTTGAAACTACCCAGCGCCCACTGAAACCTCAATCACTAGCCCAAATCCAGCCCCTTGACTTCCCTCTCTACTGTCCAACCCTTTTCTTGAGCTCCACATCTAGTCTTAATCGCCGGATTGTGAGAGCACTGATAGGATTGCAGCCGTCTGGATAACCTCAGAACCCAAACAGTTGAAATCGGTCCAACCACTAGCCGTCGTAGGAGCAGATCCGGAGGCTGCTGAAAATCTCTCGCTGCCGTGAGCCTTCCCCAAACGCCTAATCGGCGGCTTCACCATCGCAGGGCTTCACCTAGATTTAAGGAGCCGCTGGCGAGTTTGAAAAGTTTCGCTGGCGAGAAGAAAGAGAAGAAGATAAGTTAGAGAAGAGACTCACCTGTTCAGCTGCAGCGACGACGGAAGATGACGGAAGCAGTGGCGGAGGAGTGAGGAGAGTTGTCGGCCGGAGAAGAAGGAGAAACGTCAAAGTAGTGGGGAGGCTGGAGAAGAGTTGATGCGCAGGAGGGAGACGACTTCTGGCCAGAAAAATTAAGGACACTTAAGTTATATTAATTCTAAAATTAATCATATTTTTATCCATTCAAACTCTATAACGAAAATTAATCATATTTTTTTGTGTGTTTGGGCTTTGGACCTCATTTGCAATTAATATTGAAACCCCGCAGAAAAGCACTCTTTTAGTGCTTTCGGGAGAAACTTTATGGCGTTAAGCTATTCTGATTTGCCTTTTGAGTAACATTACTAATATGTTTGCTTGTACGATGCTATAACTAGGGATGGACTCGGGTCCGGGCCGGGTCTGGGTCGGGCCTAGGCCCGAGCGGGCCGGCGGTTCAGAAATGTTGGACCCGGGACCGGCCTGGGTAACCACCGGGTCCGGTCCGGGTCCGGGTCGGGCCCATTATTTTTTTTTTGTTTTCCTCTTCCTAATTAACCCCCCTCCCACCTAGGCTTGGACTCGGGTCGGGCAACCCGGCCCGTGGACCGGCCCGGCCCGCTACTGTGCGGGACCGGGACCGGCCTGGTTCTCGGGTCCGGGTCTGGGTCGGGCCAAGGCCCGGGGGGTAGGGCGGGTCCGGGCTCGGGTCTCAATTTTGGTGAACCGGCCCGGCCGGGTCGGGCCCGGGCCAAATTGATTTTTTTTCATTTTTTTTTTTTCATTTTTGGGGTTCTACCCGGGTTGGGCTTGATGGGTAGGATGGGTTTGGGGGGGTTTGGGAGGGTGGGGGGTGAGGGGGGGGGGTTAGGAAAGCAAAAAAAAAAAAAAAAAAACCAAACCGGAGGCCCGGCCCGGCCCAGCCCGGACCCGGACCGGACCCGGTGGCTACCCGGGCCGGTCCCGGGTCCACCATTCTTGAACCGCCGGCCCGCCCGGGCCTAGGCCCGGCCCGGACCCGAGTCCACCCCTACTCCCACCCCCAACCCCCCAAACCACCCCAAATGGCCCAAAATATCCAGCCTAACCCGAAAATTTAAAAAAAATTGATAAAAAAATAGGTTTTGGCCCGAACCGGGCCCGGCCGGGTCAGACCTTGTTTTGGGTGACCCGAGCCCGGACCGGAAAACCCACGGGCCGGGCCTACCCGGACCGGTCACTGACCGGGCCACCGGGTCGGGCCGGGCTGGAACAGTACCGGTCTCGGGCCGATTCCGGGTCGGGCCACCCGGCCCGAGTCCATCCCTGGCTATAACCCATGTTTGAAATATTAAAAGACATTTTTATGCTAACACTAATGAAATGAGCATTCTTAACTTATGTGAAATTACAGGACACTTTTTATTCTAACACTATAATGAAATAAGCATTTTTACTTATGAAGTGAAGTGCTTAAACCAATTATCACCTGGATGGATCTAAAGTACTTATTGGAGCCTTAAATAGGTCGGTCTCTCATTAAAGCTTGAGTAGCTAGAATTGACATCATGTTTGACTGGGGATCAAAGGTGCCAAGGAATTCTTCACAATATTAGAATGCAGACAATTACACTACACTGTATTAATAAATAATATACAGGGTGGAGGGGGATTAAAAATTTAAAATGCAGTGAATAATAACAGTGAAGGGTAAATGAACAACATATTTGAAGCAAAAGAGTTGTATGAGCCGTTGAGTTGAGCAACTCGAAAATAAATTCAAAAGTTGTGTTAAAATAGAAAACACGCACATTAACATAGTCATACGAGGATGAAAATATTGATTTAAAAAGAAAAACGTAATAATTAATGCCACATAGGCATTCCATCAGCAATATTTTAACCACAGAATTGGTGTGTAGACTACTTTGTCGGTAATGGTGCAACCGTGCAAACCCACATGCCCATTTTGTATGAACACAAACCACAAACATCTTACCACATAATACTTTTTTATACTTTTTCATGGGAAAGGTCCTTAGAGCAAACCAGATTGCCAAGGATACATCAAGTGATTTAAGTCTCATTTCAATAAATAAACAAAAATAATTCACAGCAGCACATGGACCAAGAAAGACGTAACTCATTTTTAACCATTAGCACTGTTCATATGATACTACAGAACGTAGAATGTCCATCCACATATCCCACGGACAAATGGCAAAATCATATTCTTTTTTTGGGATAATAACAATAACAATTCCATCTGGAACAAGAAAATGTCAACCAAAGCCATAGCCCGCAGGGACCTTACACTTAACCAGCCAGCATACGAAGTACCTTAAAAGAGACTTTGAAGATAAACTCAGAGGATGAATTGGAATTCACCCAAACACGAAAAGCTACTACTCGTAACATATTGGTTTAGCATCACCATACCCCTCATCACATTACCCGACAAACCTCAGCAATAAACAAACACTGCCTTCTTGCCTATGTTGATGCCTTGTCCTCCCCATCTTTTTTCACTGGCTCCTCACTTTCCTCTTTGTCCTTCTGATTGTCTTCAACGCTTAACTTCTCAAGCAGTCCAGCAGCAGTAGACGCATCCTTGTCTTCCTCTTTCTTACTCTGAGACTCTGCAACCTCTTGGAATGTCTCCTTGAATGTCTTGCAATCTAGAAAGTCACACAGTTATAAGCTATGGAGTATATGCTAAAAATCCATAGAAATGCAAATAGAAATTCAATTGAAGGTACAAATAGATTGTAACCTTGGAATACAGCTAGGTAGCACGTTTTGCAAAGTTGGCCATATACATGAAAGGTAAAAAAATGTGAAATTTTGGAGGACTAGAAGGAAAACACCACACTATGAGCCTGTTTGGTGAGGGTAGATTTTGGTTAAAATGTCTGAACTTAATGAAACTGTGGCTAAATTTTCATAATCATTACTCTAAAAAATGAAGTTAGTTTTGAAACATGAGGAAAGAATTGTGTGCTTAATATTCTTTCATCTCTTCTAAAATAAATATGAACCAGAAATTTCTATTTTCTTAATAAGCATGCAACTTTTAACAATGGACTATCAAGTGGCAAAGATTTATCCCATATAAATAGCTATTGGACTGAAGCTACACCTTGGAGTTACAACTCATCTCAAAATCCCCAGCTCTATTTTGATAATACCAGAAACTATTGGCATTGCAACACTGGGGAGTCTTGGGATACTTTCCAATGAATGGCATTGGAATGTAAGATGCACACTTTAGTAGATCTCAGAGTCCTTCAGTTTGGCATGTGCAACTGAAACCCCACATATAACTCAATATACGCATAAACCAAACCAAAAGTGCACCAATTCAACTAAAGCGAATTTGAAAATATTAGGCAGAAGAGTTCGTCACTTCATTTAAGTACAAGAAGCACTTCGAGTAAACTTGTAAACATAGAACACAAAAGCACTCAACGTCAAAATCATCATGATCACCACAACCTTGATCTCAACTAGCTGTGATTGGTGGTATGAAATATAAAGTGAAAATTCAACATAAAATTAGCTCCAAATTCAGGCAAAAGAAAACATAGTGGTGGCAATGGTTTGCATCAATACTCAAATACCCCTCCGACCTTGTGAAGGAAGAATAATGATGAAATTCTAGAAACATCATAAGCATAGGTAATTTCTACTGGTAAAACATTTGAGACACTCAGTAGATGTCACCCTCACATGTTCCTTGGCACTTGTCAGATTTAAATAGATGCACGATTCATAGATTGATACCAATCTTGAGCAACAACAATGGAAAATCAAGGTAACTATAAGGGAAGTGAATGAGGCACCAAGAACCTAATCAACATGATTTCAGGGATTACTATTAGCATCTTTAATTTTTGTGATTAACAGGAAAAAAGCAGTCTATGTACTTTTCTTAAGCAGTACAATACTACAATCACACCTGCCGTTCAGCTCTACTGCTGGAAGAATCCTTACAAACAAGGAGGGAGAAGAGGCAACAAAACTTGGATATCATTATTAGATTGGAGGCATCTCTGGAATAACTTGTATCTATTCTTTAACAATGCTTTATGAGCATGGGCTAAGAAAAATTAGGAAAGAAACTGAGGCAAGTAGTGAAAAGTCTTAATTGTTGTTCAAGAACCACAAAAACATTTCATGAAAGGCCCAGATACACGCAGGTTCATATTGCAAAATCTCAATCCAGATAGCAACTTTTCACGCCCAGCTGCCTACCATAACTATAACCCAAATATTAGAGAATAACAATATACGTAATATATTACCACCTCCGTCTCACTATCTTTGGGGCATAAGAAATGGCACATATAAAGGAAAGTGGACATGTGTTTTACATTGAATTTGTAAATTATTATGAATTAATCTGAACCACACAAACTTACCAAATATGGTTTGGAATAAACATAGTGAACAGACGAATATAGAGAAATGGGACAAAGATAGTGGATTGTATGGACTAAATACTACATTTGTCCCACTATCTTTGGACATGAGGAAGGGGCACACATCATAAGAAACATGGATTTAAGTAATGGATATTGACTTCGTAAAATATGCACGAATTTGAACCACACAATAGTATGCCACAACTTAGTGGGACAGATGGGAAAGAAAGATGAGACAAAGATAGTGGGACGGAAAGAGTAGTAAATACAATGTCAAGAACACTCTGACTACAGAAATATGGGACTACAGTTTTTAGTGTACTTTTTTTAAATTTAATTTAATTTTCCAAACTTTAAACTCAAATGGGACCCATCTAGTCAAATAATTCAATCAAAAGTAAAAAGAGTAAATTTGAAGAAGTAAAAAAGTGATATGTGCCTGTGGGAAGTCAGAATTATTTTGAGATACAACAACAACAACATCCAAGCCTTAGTCCCAAAAGATATTGGGGTCGGCTAACATGAATCGATACATGATATCACAACCAAAAGGAAAAGAAGGAATAAAGATAAAAAGATAAGCTATTATGAAAAGATAATATAAAAAAGATGAATATATATAAAAATGATAAAATAAAAAGGCTGCAAATAATGCTTATATATATATAAGGATAAAAAAAAACTAGGAAAAAAAAAGATGAGGGAAAAAGATTATCAAGATCACTCCTTCACGTGAATACCCGCCCTCCACTTAGTTCTCTCCAAAGTCATGCCCTCATCCAACCCCAGAAAAAGCATATCACTTCGAACTCCCCTAACCCACGTCTGTTTGGGTCTTCCTCTCCCTCTCTTCCCTGCCTCTTCTCCACACATCTCAACTCGCCTAACAGGTGCATCACTCGGTCTTCTACGCACATGACCAAACCACCGTAGACGCGACTCCCGCATCTTGTCTTCAATAGGTGCTACTCCCACCCTTTGTCTGATTGTCTCATTCCTCACGCGGTCCTTCCTAGTATGCCCACACATCCAACGCAGCATGCGCATCTCTGCCACACTCATCTTTGAATGTGACATTGTCTCAGAATTATTTTGAGATCGTTACAAAAATTAAATTGAGTGGGATGGAGTAATAGTAAACACACTCACATATTGAGTAATAATTTACATTTTGCAAATATCAAAAAGTAAATTGAACAAAATACGGATATAAATGGCCAAATGTTTATGAATATGGTAAAACCATAAGCAAAAATGATGTGGTTTGTGATAACTTTTTTTCTTTAGTTCAGAAGAATTCCACTTCAAAAGAATTTTCAAAGTCACTTCCAATTTTAGAGTCTAGACATAACCTTCTATTAGTTGCATAACCTTCAAATATTTCAAGAAGGGTTAAATGCGGACAATATTTTAAGTGGGTTCTATTCAAATGACTTTTGGTACTTTCCTTTGCTCATCTTCCTATAAAAAAGCGTGAGAATGTACACCCTTCTCCAAGGAGATTTAAGAATAACCGTTGCTAGGTGTAACTAAGTGCTTCATGAATTAGGTAAGAAATAGACTCGCCGTCTTCAGGGTAAATCTAAACACTGTCAAGTGTGGTTCTCAAGTGTATGGATAAAATTCATTACATTAGGAGTTCGATGTTTCAATTCATTGACAGAAAAAGATTTTGATACGACAAACAATAATATAGCCATACAAATCATGAGCTGAAAATTATAAATGACTATACATACATACACTAATTACATCCATTAATATCAGTCATCAACATTGCAAATCAAGAAAGCACTTGAAACAGTATAGCCCAAGTCGTGAAGCACCCTAAATGCACAAAGGTCCCATATCTCCCATAAGCAGAAACCGCAAGAAAGTGCTTGCCTCACACATGGAAGGGGAAAAAAATTAAAAACTTATTCAATTTATCAAATATATCTTGAAAACCGCAAGAACGTTTTCTAATATTCTAAAATTATCAAAACAAGATATATTCAATTTAAAAATAAGCCACATGCATGATGCATCAACAATGACATCAACATCACAATCCATGATAGTTTAGCAAATAAAATGAGCAAAAAGAAACTTGAACTAATAATGTTACAAAATTTGGTTATAAAGAAGTCAGAGACGAAACCAGCCAATGGCCAGTATAGCCACTGTCCATAGCCTTTTGAAGACGTGATTGGATGCACAAGATGTTGTGAGTTCTTCTGGAGGAGAAGTTGCAGGTCTCAAGGACTGCGTCGTGGAGGGAACATTCAGCAGGCTTGAGATGCAAGAGAGATAATACAATAACAGAAGGGATTTATTTTGTTTTGTTTATTAATGGGATGTGCTGATGTCAGGTATAAGAATGGACCTGTTGAGGCACATATCTTTAATGATGAGAAAAAAGCTGAAGGACATAACCACAGTCCGGCTTAATAAACGCTTGCTTGGTTCTACGGAGGAGAATACACGCTTCTTGCACATCACATGCGACTAACATGATGCAGTGCACCTGTATATGCCCGGCTCAAGACACTGACCCCATGAGCTTGAGCAGTCAGGCACGCGCATTTGACTACCTCAACTTGAAAATGAAACTCGATATTGGTCACAAGACAAAGGATTGAACTCCAGATATGGCACTCCATCAAGGACAGGGTTCACACACACAAACAACTAAACCACACATAATTTAGACACATAAGGGAAAAATAAACAAATGCAGAATCCATACTGAAAAACACTTACTTTCCAAGGAAGCAAATCGAATACAGAAGAGCTCATCCTTTAGCTCACCATCTGCAAAATCTGCAGCATGCCACACACATGACTTCTCATTGCCAGCATGCTCTTGAAGAGTCATTGATGGTAAAACTGCAAATCACAAACAGAAAGACTTTCTTAGATCATCAGAACAAATGAGAACTAGATGAATCTTCAACCAATAAGTAACTACAGATAAACGAAAGAAATACTAAAACATACTGAGATGATTAGCGCAAATCTTAAGTGTCTTAGCCTGGCGCATAACTAGGCGCACTTTTCCGGTCTCCTTGTGCTTCAAGAGCTTGACTGTGCCGGCGCCTCTCTCTTTCCATTGATTTCCATCCTTATCAAATCGATAAAGTTTCGACTTCCTGTAAAGTTTTCGGAAATCAGAGATCAAGTTTGCAACCGCTGAACTAGAACAGATCGAAAGCGAATAGACGGATCAGATAATTGAAATATCTATTAGTACAAGTCGACGATGGCGTCTTCATCTTCCTCGCCAGTTGTTACAGCCACCTCTTCAAGCTTAACGATAGGCGCAACCTGTGCTCCAGTGTCCTCATCATCCGCTCCGGCGACTTCCTCCTCCTCCCTGTGCTCGTGCTCAGACTCGGTAGTAGCCATGGTAGTATATTATACGTATATATGTCCTCTCTGTGGCGATTCCGAATCAGATGTTTCTAGCGGAAGTAAGAAAAGAGTGAAAGGGCAAGGGATTGCCAAAGGGGTGAGTTGGAGGAAATAAAGCTCCCCGGACAGCTAACGTGATATCCACGCAGGATTGAGCTAAAATGGTCTAAAGCATGGCGTGTATTCTGAAGTACATTAAGATATTCTAATTTCTAATTGGTGTTCAACAAAAACAAAATCCTTTTATGCCCAATCAGAAAATCCAACCTTATTTATATTCTGAAGTACATCAAAAGTTACATATTTAATAAATATTGATCGATAATGTTGATTGATAGAGTATATGGTCCAAGGATCTCCGGCCCACATACTTTCACAACTGCAGTCAGGTTCAACAGGCCCAAACGGGCCAAGTCCAGCAAAATGAAGCCCTAAGCAGCCCACAATACTTAAGGGGCTGCTTTCGGCCCCATGGCCGAAGGCTACCGTTTACGTATTCAGGTTCAGAAACATCACAGGAGAACAAGGCTAGAAAATCGAGCCTTCGGCTCTCGGGGGCCCTCGGCACTATGAGGCCCCCGGTACGAGGGGCCTTCGGCTTGTCATCTACCGCCGAAGGCATCCTCCTCGACAGAATATCCTCTTCACATGCGTCTGAATCACCGTACCGAGTACAACGTCACATCCAACCACCGCATTTAATGCGGCCACATGCAGGTGCCGATGCCACCCGGTTGAGGTGACCCCTCAACCGTTAGATTATTGACACATGTACTCTCATCGTATTTATTGCTCCTATAAATAGCAGTCCATTTCCCCATTGTAAATCATCACAAGTTCACATAACGAATACTCACTCTCTCTCTCTTACTATTGCTTTGACTTCTCTCTAGTTATTCCCCGTAATAACCCCTCGGATAAGCTACCCCCCGGGTACACTATCAATCATTTGGTGCTCTCGTTGAGAGGTTGAACAATCAAGTAAGAAACCCTCCCCTTCACCAAACACAAAAACACCTATCAAAATGGGAAGAACCACCCGTGCTCAGTCCAAGACCCTTGAGGACAACAGCTTGGCCCTCGACGAAGTCGACGCCCCCGGAGCCTCCAACAAGGCACCTGAGGGCGGAGTCATCGCTGGGTTGGACCAGGCTGCTGTTGACCTGCGCCTTCAGCTTCAACAGAATGCTCCTGATGCTTGCCTCGGCATCGAGGCGAGAAAGAAGGACCGGAGCGAAAACCAAGTGAGCCCCCCGGTCCTCACTATTGATGTGCACTCAGCATTCTCCGCCTTCATTCAAACGCTCACCCAGAACCCGGGTGCCTTCGGCACTCTGGTGCCACTACAACCCCAGGTCGGGGAGAACGTCATTGCCCCTCCACCACCACCACCCGTCATGAAACCCATCATTCGGTTGGGGAACAACGAAGGGGTCGTGGCTCAGGACACCGCCTCCTAGGAAGTCCAATCCCGGGACCGCCACAATACGAACGAAGAAAGGCCCCGAACCTCCGCCCTCGACAGACTTGGAGGAGCGCCAGACCGCCGAGGGCTCAAAGACCGCCTTGGTGACAAGGCGTTCCAAAGGCCCCAGGAAAGCGGAGGATCCGTTTCGAGGGCAGACGAGAGGCGTCCCCCTCGGGCCAAGGGCAAGGGACCACTTCATGCCAACAACGCAAGTTACCAGATCAACCAGGCCCACTCCGCTCGGGTACGCTCGCAGGGGGCGGAGGCCCTCCCGAGGGATCCCAGAGATGATGTTATTGAGGCCCTCCAGCGCCGCCTTGATGAAATGGAGGCCCGTCAAGCACACACCACCGTTTCCACCCCTCGCACGGATCCCAAATATGAGGCCATGCTGGCCAAGATGGACGAGATGCAGAAGAAATTTGCCGAGGGCTCTGGAGAACCCATCATCCAGCTCTGGACTAGGATGCCATTTACCCCAAGGGTATTGGCGGCCCAGATCCCGGAAAAATATCGCGGGTAACCCATCAAGCCCTATGAAGGAAAAACAGACCCCCAGGAGCATTACAGTAGGTACCAGAACAGCATGATGGTGGTGGCATCAGATGAATATTTGTGTCGTTGGTTCCTCTCCACCTTGAAGGGACCAACATACGAATGGTTCAACCGGTTTCCCGAAGGCAGCATTGACTTGTGGCAAGAACTCGCCTAGCGCTTCTTGACACAGTTTGCGGGAAGGCGCCGGTCAAGAAAGCACTTCTCCCACCTGCTAACAGTGAGGAATGAGGAAACCCTTCGGGACTTCTTGGAACGTTGGAGGATGGAGACAGATAAAGTTGACGGCGCCGACGACGGGACCCTTCTGGCTCTCCTACAGATGGTCCTTCGCACCGGAAACTTTTCAAGAAGTCTCATCATTGAACCCCCCGCGATTATATAAGGGCCCTCCAGCGAGGGGACCGATACGCAGAGGCTGAGGAGGTGGAGAAATGCCACCAGAACCCCGAGCATCAGCGTCCGAGGGCAGATGACAAGAACCGGCGGGGGCCGGTAGCTTCATTCCATCAATCTAAAGGTCCAGGCCCCTCGGGTGATCGCCCCCGGCACGACCAAGCCAAGCCCGGGAGAGGTTACAAGAACAATCCGAAGGCCTGGGCGCAGCCCATCCTCCTGGAGCACGCTCGGACGCCTCTGACCCACCCCATCAGCGTCATCGTGGAGCGCGACTCTCGCGCACCCTAGGAGATATACGCCATCAACCCCAATGAGCCATACTGTCGTTTCCATCGCAACCAGGGGCACAAGACCGATGATTGCCACCAGCTGAAGGCAGCCATCGAGAGGCTTATACAGGCGGGCCATCTGTCCCAGTTTGTCAGGGGCCCTCAGCCTCTAGGGCCCCCGCGAGGGACGCCGGCGAGGGCAAATGTAACACCACGGCCCCGTAGGCCCCGAGGTAGTTACTTCGGGCCTCTAGAACTGTCCTCACAAACCGCCACTAGCCTTTTACGCGCACTTTGTCCTCACTAATGCGCGCCCTGAGAAACTTCCCAGGGGGTCACCCATCCCAAGACTACTCCCGTGCAAGCACGCTTAACTTTGGAGTTCTTGAGTGATGAGCTCCCTTAAAAGGAGATGCACCTTGTTGGTATGAGTAGTACTATTAATCCGTTTAAATTAAATCTCAAGTCTTACAATCACCCCCACTTAGGAACGCAACGTCCTCATTGCGCCCATAAACCAATCTCAATCATATCCCAGAATCTTTTCCCCTTCTAAGTGCCCGCCCAATATCCAACGGATCAGCACACTGTCACAGGGTTGCTCTGATACCATTTGTAACACCTCGGCCCCGTAGGCCCTGAGGTAGTTACTTCTGACCTCTAGTACTGTCCTCACAAACCGCCACTAGCCTTTTACGCACACTTTGTCCTCACTCATGCGCGCCCTGAGAAACTTCCCAGGGGGTCACCCATCCCAAGAATACTCCCGTGCAAGCACGCTTAACTTTGGAGTTCTTGGGTGATGAGCTCCCTTAAAAGGAGATGCACCTTGTTGGTATGAGTAGTACTATTAATCCGTTTAAATTAAATCTCAAGTCTTACAACAAATGTTTGGGTTAATCCAAACACCATTCCCCCGGTGACCCGAAGGGTAAGAAACGGGAGATCAGGAATCTCGATGAGGAGGAGGAGTACAATAAGTACCAAGAGAAGAAACGCCACATCCTCATGATTACCGGGGGCAACACGGGGGGAGACTCCACTAGCCAAAGAAAGAAGTGGGCACAATCGCTTTATGTGGGGGAAGTCACTCACATGCCCCCCGTAAAACGGATGAGAGAGGAGCCCGTCATGTTTACCAACGCCGATCTCTCCCCGGTTTCCTCTCCTCATAGGGATGCGTTAGTGATCCAAAGCGAGATCAATAACACCATCATCCACCGAACTTACGTTGACACGGGCAGCTCCGTCAATGTAATGTATCTCAGCACATTCAAAGAGCTACACCTAGAGAGGAGTTGCCTTCGGCCCATCCGGACCCCCCTGTCCGGCTTCACCGGAGACACTATTGATTCCGAAGGGGTCATATCCCTCCCGGTACTGTTCGGAGACGGGCTCCATAGGGCCAAGCTCGAAGTGGAGTTTGTCGTCATCAATATCGACTACGCCCATAACATCATCCTCGGCCGGCCTGCACTCGAGGACCTAGAGGCCATCATCTCCATGAGGCACCTTTGCCTCAAGTTCCCGGCCGAAGGAGGCATCGGGTACTCAAGGGGGAACCAGAAGCTCGCCCGCGCATGCTACCTTCAAATAACGAAGAAGGTTAGTAAGACCGAGTTCCGTGTTGACACCATCACCGGGACTGTAGAGGAAGAAGAGAAGAGGCCGAGGACAGAGCCGACCGAAGAGGTAGAAGACTTTGCACTCGATCTGGCCAAGCTGGAGAGAGTCGTGAAGATTGGAGCCAAGCTCCCCGAAGATTTGAAGACCGGCATCACGGACGCCCTCCGCGCCTACTCTATTGTTTTTGCATGGGAGCCGGAGGACATGCCGGGAATTAGCCAAAGGGTCATCACTCACCCTTGTCGGTGGACCCTTCCTCCAAACCTGTACAATAGAGAAGAAGACCCCTCTCGGCCGAGAGGAGGGATTTTGTGAAGAAGGAGGTCAGCATGCTCCTCTCCATCAAACACATCAAGGAGGTAAAGTACCCCATATGGCTGGCTAATGTGGTCCTCGCACAAAAACCACACACCTTCCGCATGTGTGTGGACTACACAGATCTGAATAAGGCGTGCCCCATGGACCCCTTCCCGCTACCAAATATTGACCAACCCCTCGACGCTTTGATGAGGAGTCCCACCAGCTCCTCCCGAATGGTAAAACGGGCTATCTTCCTTAGCCAATACAACATTGACATCCGTACGAGGCCTACCATAAAGGGCTAAGCCCTGGCGAACTTCGTGACGGAGTGCAAGACAAGATCAGCGGTGGATGAGGGGCCCTCGGCAACCTTGGATGAATGGTGGACCCCTTATACTGATGGCTCCTCAGCCACCAAAGCATGCAGAGGAGGGGTAGTCCTCATTACTCCCGCGGGCTTTCGCGCCTATTATGCCTGTAGCACCGTCCCCAAGCATATTTACTTTTAGTAAATTATGTAATAAACCTTGAAAGATGATTTATGAATTTACGTAATTGTTAAATTTTATTATTTCTTTTACGTGAATAGTAAACTGCATGTGGGGCCCACAGCGAGA